AATTCCTGGACACTTACACCCTCCCGAACCCAAACCAGAAAGAAGTTGAAACCCTGAATAGACCAATAACAAGGGCTGAAGTTGAGGCAGCAATTGATAGCCTACGAACCAAAAAAAAAGCCCAGGTCCAGATGCATTCACAGCCTAATTCTACCAGACATACAAAGAGGAGCTGCATCACTCCTTCTGAAACTATTCCAACAATCCAAAAAGAGGGAATCCTTCCCAAATCATTTTATCATCCTGATACCAAAACCCAGCAGAGACTCAACAAGAAAACTTCAGGCCAATATCCATGATGAACGTAAATGCAAAAATCTTCAATAAAATACTGGCAAACCAATTTCAACAGCACATCAAAAAGCTTATCCATCACAATCTAGTAGGTTTCATCCCAGGAATGCAAGGCTGGTTCAACATACGCAAGTCTACAAATGTAATTCACCACATAAACAGAACCAAAGACAAAAACCACATGATTATCTCAATAGATGCAGAGAAAGCCTTCGACAAAATTCAATAGCCCTTTATGCTAAAACTCTCAATAAACTAGGTATCAACAGAACGTATCTCAAAATAATAAAAGCTATTTACAACTAACCCACAGCCAATATCATACAGAATGAGCAAAAACTGGAAGCATTCCCTTTGAAATCTGGCACTAGACAAGGATGCCCTCTCTCACCACTCCTATTCGGTATAGTATTGAAAGTTCTAGCCAGAGCAATCAGGCAAGAAAAAGAAATAACAGGTATTCAATTAGGAAAGGAGGAAGTCAAATTGTCTCTATTTGCAGATTATATGATTGTATATTTAGAAGACCCCATCATCTCAGCCCAAAATCTCCTGAAACTGATAAGCAACTTCAGCAAAGTCTCCGGATACAAAATCAATGTGCAGAAATCACAAGCATTCCTATACACCAATAACAGACTTAAAGAGAGCCAAATCAAGAACAAACTACCATTCACAATTGCTACAAAGAGAATAAAACACCTAGGAATACAACTAACAAAGGGTGTAAAGGACCTCTTCAAGGAAAACTACAAACCACTGCTCAAGGAAATAAAAGAGGACACAGACAGATGGAGAAACATTCCATGCTCATGGTTAGGAAGAATCAATATTGTGAAAATGGCCATACTGCTCAAAGTAATTTATAGATTCAATGCTATCCCCATCAAGCTACCTATGACCCTCTTCACAGAACTGGAAAAAAACACCTTAAAATTCATATGGAACCAAAAGACAGCCCACATAGCCAAGTCAATTCTAAGCAAAAAGGACAACGCTGGAGGTATCATGCTACCTAACTTCAAACTATACTACAAGGCTACAGTAACCAAAACAGCATGATACTCGTACCAAAACAGAGATATAGACCAGATATGGAACAGAACAGAGGCCTTGGAGGCAACGCCACACATCTACAACCATATAATCTTTAACAAACCTGATAAAAACAAGCAATGGGGAAAGGATTCCCTGTTTAATAAATGGTGTTGGAAAACTGGCTAGCCATGTGCAGAAAGCAGAAACTGGACCCCTTCCTGACACCTTACACTAAAATTAACTCCAGATGGATTAAACACTTAAACATAAGACCTAACACCATAAAAACCCTAGAAGAAAACCTAGACAAAACCATTCAGGATATAGGCATAGGCAAGGACTTCATGACTAAAACACCAAAAGTATTGGCAACAAAAGCCAAAATAGGCAAATGGGATCTAATTAAACTCCAGAGCTTCTGTACAGCAAAAGAAACAATCATTAGAGTGAACCAGCAACCAATAGAATGGGAAAAAATTTTTGCAATCTACCCATCTAACAAAGGGCTAATAGCCAGAATTTACAAAGAACTAAAACAGATATACAAGAAAAAAACAAACAAACCCATTCAAAAGTGGGTGAAGGATATGAACAGACACTTTTCAAAAGAGGACATATATAGGCCAACAAACATATGAAAAAATGCTCATCATCACTGGTCATTAGAGAAATGCAAATCAAAACCACATTGAGTTACCATCTCATGCCAGTTAGAATGGCGATCATTAAAAAATCTGGAGACAACAGATGCTGGAGAGGATGTGGAGAAACAGGAACACTTTTACACTATTGGTGGGAGTATAAATTAGTTCAACCATTGTGGAAGACAGTGTAGCAATTCCTTAGGGATCTAGAAATAGAAATTCCATTTAACCCAGCAATCCCATTACTGGGTATCTATCCAAAGGATTATAAATTGTTCCATTATAAAGACACATGCACGTGTATGTTCATTTCGGTACTGTTTACAATAGCAAAGACCTGGAACCAACCCAAATGCCCATCGATGATAGACTGGACAGGGAAAATGGGGCACATATACACCGTGGAATACTGTGCAGCCACAAAAAACGATGAGTTTATGTCCTGTGTAGGGACATGGATGAACTTGGAAACCATCATTCTCAGAAAACTGACACAAGAACAGAAAATCAAACACCACATGTTCTCACTCATAGGCGGGTGTTGAACAATGAGAACACATGGACACAGGGAGGGGAGCATCACACACTGGGGTTTGTTGGTGGGGACTAGTGAAGGGACAGAGGGAGTAGGGAGTTGGGGAGGGATGACATGGGGAGAAATGCCAGATACAGGTGATGGGGATGGAGGCAGCAAACCACACTGCCTTGTATGTACCTATGAAACAATCCTGCATGTTCTTCACATGTACCCCAGACCCTAAAGGACAATAAAATATACATATATTTAAAAATAAAGATATTAATTTATTTAACAATTCTTGAAAAATATTTGTAACTCGAGAGAAATTAGGTCTAAATGCATCCAAGAAGAAAAGCAAAACAAAAATTATCAAATAAACTGTAAAAAAAAGAAAAAGTACACCACAATCTATGTAATAGCAGCCCCCAACCTTTTTGGCATTGAGGACCAGTTTCGTGAAAGATGATTTTTCCACAGACAGTGAGGGTGATGATCTCGGGATGACTCGGCACATTACATTTATTGTGCACTTCATCTCTATTATTATTACATCGTGATATATAATGAAATAGTTATACAACTAACACATGTAGGATCAGTAGGAGCCTTGAGCTTGTTTCCCTGAAACTAGATGGTCCCATCTCAGTGTGATGGGAGGCATTAGATTTTCATAAGAGCACACAACCTAGATCCCTTGCATGCACAGTTCACAATAGGGTTCACGCTCTTATGAGAATATAATGCCTCTGGATCTGACAGGAGGCGGAGCTCAGGCTAATGCAAGTGATGGGGACTGGCTGTAAATGCAGATGAAGCTTCATTCATTTGCCCACCACTCACCTCCTGCTGTGCAACCCAGTTCCTAACAGGTCACAGACCACTACACATCCATAGCTCACGGGTTGGGGACCCCTGCAATATAAGATTTGATGTGATCTAAAGAATCATTGTTATGCTATCAGAAAACACTTTCATTTGGCCAAAGCACTTGTTTCTCATGTCATAATTTTTTTATGATGTATGGAATTTAGCAATTTGCTTTTTGGAAATTTGGTAGGGGAAAGTGAATTGAAAATAGCTAATTAAACAAGAGAGGCCTGGGTTTCCTAATCAGGTCACACATTTTTTCAAAGACAGTAAAAATCAGTTCTAAAAGCTGAGGAAGCACTTCACTGATGGACTCTCCTCTCATCTAAATTTCTCTCTTCATCTAACTCTAGATACTTCCTTATGGTTCAAATAATCCAAACATTCCTGTTACCCAAGTGAAGCAATCCTCCAATCTAACCAAGTGTTTTGCTTTACATCACTTCAGTTATGTAAAATATTTATTTGCACATCACAGCCAAGAATATCCCTGATGCTGCTTGGTACACACAAATTCAACTATTCCTTGTCTTTATCTGTATGTATTAATACAAAAAACTCAGTTCACACAAATGAATACTTCCAAAATAAAGTCATTTTCTCATGTTGATAAGGAAAAATATAATGCAACAGCTAAACAATAAACTCATAAAACATATGTCCAGGAAGAGCTAAGATATTATAAAATCCCTAGTTATGTGCTCTGCAAGTGGCACACAGAACATAGATACGTACACACACTGACTCACACAATCACACAGGTGTCACCACTTCACTTCCCATTCTCAATTAAGGACCACCAGCTCCTCTACCACCTGTCGTGGTGCAGGGAGGGAAGTTGGGTTGGAAATAAGAAATCTTTCATACCAACAGTAAGAGTATACACAAGCAAGCACCAAGCCTTGGTGATTCTGGAAGCTCTGGGACTGGGTGGACACAATTATTACTGGAGGAGTAAAACTGCAGCTGGATTCTCTGGTTCACACCTCAGGAGTTGAACCCTGGTTCCCACACCAGGAGTTGAACTCGGGCCATCTGGATAAAAACCAGGAATCCTAACTGCTGAACCACCAGGGAAGTGGCATAGCTCTAGCCCGAACTTAGGTTCTTAGCCTTCCTAACCCGGAAGAATGGGGAAACAAGTCCCACAGGCGCAGTGAGTTTTACTGTCGAAAAAAAACTTGTGGACCCAAAGAGTATGTGAAAGTGCAGTTTATTAGGCAGAGTGAAAGGACAGCTCCCATGCTTTCGTATAACGGGATCCAGAAAAAGGATACCGTCCAGGCAGGGGCAGCTGGAGTTTTCATTCCTGAATTATTCCCTCTCCATTCATGTTCTCATCCAATGAGAGGAGTTCTTTTAAATTTCCTCTGGATTGATTGATCTTTGACTCCATTACCAGATTGGCTACTTGTTTTATAACCCTGAGTCACAGAGCCCCCTCATGGACAGCCTCGGGAAATTCAAAGACAAAGGGCCCTACCTGTCTTGCCAGGGAGGGAAGGTGAAACGAAGGGCTCAAAAACGTCCATTTTAACACTTTCTGAGAGTCAAACCACTTAAGCCTCTGTTTTATATGACCAAATATTCTAAATCTGTCACTTGAAATAGCATACTCATGATTAAAAGCAAATCACCTTTTACACCACCAAATGATCCATAGGTCATATTGCAGGCTGTTCTCTGAAGATTATGTTCATATATCAATTTCATCTGATACTGATTCCCATGTTCCACATTACCCAAGGTTCCTAAGGAAAAAAAAAAGGATTACTTTTTTTTATTTGTGTACATTAAAAAACATTAATTTGTTCTCATCCTCTACTCTAATTCTAAGTAATTCAATTTTGGGGAAATTATACTGAAAAGCACTAAAATATTATGTATTGTGATAAATTAGCATACTGATGACATAGAAAGCCAAACTGTCTTATATCCAGTTCGGGGCTTCTTATATCTGACTAGGTCAGAAATAAACTGGTAGTAAATGGCAGTATTGTAGAAGGTATAAACTTTGGCTTTTGGAAATTTGCAAAAATTTCTGTGTTCTACCCCCATTGTTTCATTTTTCTTGCATATTTAGGTAGGGAAAAATCATTTGGCAAAGGAGGTCTGAGAGCCAAAGCCAATATTTGAGGTAAAAATTAGATCCTTAGTTTCTGAAGAACTGAGTACCTTCCAGCTTCTATGTACATAAGTTTTAGGCCCCAGAAAAAGCAAAGTCTTACAGAAATGGCGAAATCTCACTGAAGTTACAAATGTCAAATGCTTCAAATAAACAACACTGCACCAAAGAAGTACATTCGAAAATGAAGGCTCCCAAAATAGTCTCATCTAGGGATGCCTATTGACATGCAGAAGCTTCTAAAATTTTTCAATATTTTTATTAAAAGACACTTTATAAAAGGCAAATAAAAAGCTTAAGCAACTAATTGATAAGAAAAACTAAATGTGCTAATTTTTGTCTTAGTTACTATCCTGATCCAAAGGTGAAAAGAAAGTTATCCTAGATAAAGTATTTATAAAAGGTAGGCCCTAGGACAAAATAGGCTTGCTTCTTTTTCAGATGCAACCATGCTGAGTCCTGGCATAGAGAATGCTTTCTTCACCCTATTCCTTAATGGGCTCCACTCTGAAGTAAGTAATTTTAGCTAAGAAATAGTAGCTAAATTAAGAACACCTATTGGACTCAAATATGCCTTTCTGGACCTCAACTGGCTATTTTGAAACCCTTCTGTAAAAGAAATTTACATCTATTAAGGAAATCTCCATTTTTAAGGATGTCTGCCTGCGTATATTAGAAACTCTTACCATTGTTTTAAACTGACATAAGTCATACCTTTGATTAACTTGCCTTTCTGGCCATCTCGTCTTAACCAAACTTTCATGAGAGCACCATTTTTCCTTAGTTTGAGCAAATGATGATACAATATTTAGGCCTAAAATCTTAGCTATGTACTTATGGAATATAATTTTTTTTGTTATTTTACCTAAGAGTTATTTTAGAAATGCAAAATTTGTTGCCTGGTTAATAATTGCTTAGGGCAATGAAACAAGTAACTGAAAGATTAATAGAACAAATGGGGAAAAGAAAAACTATTTAAAAGTTGGCAAATAAAAATCTTTCATATCCATGTGTGTTATGTGTCTGTGATAATATTTGGTAAATAAAACTAGTTTAAAATTGTTGCTAAAATAGGAACGGCTTCAAAATTATCAGTTAAATATAACAAGGTATTTGCTTGACTGTGAGCTGTTTTTGGTTTAGAGCCTCTGGAGTCAGGGGTCTGCATAGGTGGACCTGACGTGGTCTAAAGGCACATTCTTAGTGCCTAGACCATCAGCTACAAGCCAGAATCAAGCCTATATGATCCCTTCTTCCCTGCCTTCCCTGCTTGCCTACTGGCTGGGGAGGGGTTGAATCCTTCAGGCATAGATTTTCATGCTAAACCAGACAGTACTGAAATTGTTTATATATGCAATTTGAATGAACTCCATGATCCAAGTCAAATTACCTATAACTTTCAGTTATCAGTGCTATATACTTAAATTGGAGAAACAACTGTTATTTAAGAGGTCATTAAGCCCAACATTAAGGGTGGACTCATGGAGAACCTGAACAGCCACCTTGTCCTTCCTGAGTCCTTAAAGCCTTTGCTATTAAAAGCTCTGCATTCCACAACTCATCATGGAAGAAATAAAATTATCCAAATTAAAAATATATTTATTGGTGTGGTGACTGTTCTATATCGCTAAAATAGTTTACAACCAATGTTTGCTTTGTCAAACACATGTTCCTGGAAAGACAACCAAAACTTCAGGTACATTTCTACTAACTGATGAGCCATTTAAACATTTACAGAAAGATTTCATTCAATTGTCATTTTCAATGCATGTTTTCTGGTTGTATTAAAGCTTTCCCATGCAAGAGGGCTAATGTTATAACAGTAGCTCTATATATCAAAGTATATTTTCACCCAGGAAAGAAAGCCTTTGATAGTCCACTGACTGAGGACAATCAACCCCTTCACAATCTAGAACCCAAAGAGTAAATCTTCTGAGAATACCAGAGAAAAACTGCCCTTGCCATCCACATTACAGCAAAACTTTGGGACCTTGAAATTTTGAGTTAATAATCTCAGAACTCAAAAGGACCCCTCCACTCTTGGAACTGTATACCCACTGGAAACCCTAAGCTAAAGCTAAACAGGAAAGTTTCTCTCCAGGAGAAGATGGCATCCATAAGGTAGACAGCTTTTTCCCTAGATCACGGATCAAGACTTCTCTGCTATTAGGAGACTCTTATCTTTCCATTTTTTTTCTTTGCTTATGCTTCTATGAACAATAGAAGTGAAAAGAAGATCTATTGTGTGCATTCATAGGGTATACTTTCATTTGTGAAGGATTTTACAGCCAGCCTTATGCATGGACAATCTTATGCCTCAATTAATAAAAGATGAAGGCCCAATTCAGGTGAGAAACTTTAATGACACACTTATTGTCTCATAATCAGTCAGAAACAGGATAGTGGCCCACTCCTCTTAACCGACATCATAGATAAAAGATAACACTTTAAGGAAGTCTTCATTCTTCTAAATAGGCATCATTTGTTAGGTCTCTTTTTCCATGGTTTGAAGTAAATGAGGTAATGATTAGAAATTTATCCCTCATGATAGGCTTTATAGCAGATTCCACTGTAAAGGCTACAGACTTTAAAGTATCTTATGAAAGTTTTGCTAAATAACAGAACTACTCTAGATTACTTACTGGTTAAACAGCAGTATCTATGCACTTGTTGGTACTTCTTGTTGGCCATGGAGAAATGCATCACATTGGATATTATAGATATTCAGTTGTAGGGGACTAATGAAGAGACTGCTTAGTTAAAGCGAATAGACTTTATCTAGTTCATTCTTTGATCTATTTAATTTTACTTCATTTGGTTCATGGGGACCCTGGCTAAGGAGCATGCTCCAAACTCTTGCTATTATCCTCCTGATATTATAGTAGTCTCCCTAGTGTCAAAAATTTTTAAATGTTTGCATGCAGCCATCTCTAGAATGCCACATAATTTCTCTTCAACTAGAAGGACAAGAGCTTAAAAAGATGTGTGACCATGAGGGCACTGTAACCTATGAATGACATGCTGAGACTAGAAATCCAAAATTCATGGTAACTGAGACTGGGACTAAGGCCCTAACTTTTGGTCACACTCTCACATAAGTGAGAACCTGACTAAAAGGGGAAATTTTTTAATAAAATTATGGAAAGCCATTGTTTTGGACTGAGCTTATGCACTAGGTCCCAACAGACAAGACCAAACCAAAATGGAGTCACTCATGCTAAATGTGACATAACCAAACTAAGATCTTAAGGAAACACATAGCTCCTAGAACAGACAAGGCTTTGTTTTTCTCCTATAAACACGACATTCCAGCATAAGGAGGTACCCTCTACTCTAACCTTTACAGAAAAATAACCCGAATTCTTTGTTCCCACCTTACAAAACCCACTGTTCTGCTATTTCCCAGTGGATTTTAAGATGAAATAAGTACATTTACGATGGTGACAGTGACATCGATGACTAGTTTTGGTCAATCTCTCAAAATTAAGAGGATGACCAAAAGGGGAGAATTGCTGTATCAAGTTTAAACTAAAGCTGCCTACTTACATAGTTCAAGTTTAGCCTACAGGTTTCTCTGTACATAGTAAACTATAACCTAAATGGAGGTATAAACAGACTGTAACTGACTTTTGTGCCAATCACTGAGTTTTGGCCAATCAAAGGAGGCCAACTGTTCAAACCATGTTCAAATAAGGTAAACATCAAGCTGTAACTAATCTGGCTGTTTCTGTACCTCATTCCATTTTCTATACATCACTTTCTTTTTTCTGTCTGTCACTATCCTTTTTCTGTCTATAAATCTTCTACCACATGGCTGTGCTGAAGTATCTCTAAGCCTACTCTGGCTCAAGAGGCTGCCCAATTCACAAATCATTCTTTGTTCAGTTAAACTCTGTTAAATTTCATTTGTCTAAGGTTTTTCTTTTAACAACATCTACAACCAGATCAATCCGTTTGAATAAGAAAAGCACTTATACATGCCTGCTAGCTGAAATGCAAGCAGGAACATCAGGAACTCATGTCAATGAACATAGGCGTCAGCAGCCAGAATTTAAACAAACTTGGCATGAAATGACACTAGGCTTTGTATAAAAACTCCAAATGCACTGATAAATCTTAAACTTCAGGTAACTGCACTTTAAAACTTAATAATGCAACTATGGAGAAAAAGATAATTTTCCTTAGATAACTACCTTGGAGTGAAAGAAGTATTTGGTAATCTAATATTTCTGATCATTTTTCCCTAAAAAATTATCAGTGACGTAATATTAAAATTATTTACATAGGGTTTGCCCTGGGATATATGGACTGAATATAGCATATATGATTATAGTCTACACAAAATTATTATAAAGTTTCATCAGTTAGAAAGTACATTGATATTCAAACATTTATGCAATTGGCCAGGCTTACTTAAACAAGATCTGATTTAAACCAAAAAATTTTCTGGAAAATCGAAGGTCACTTTGACAAGTTTTCGGTGAAATTTTAGGTAACTGGTGAGCAATCTAAGGATATTAAATAAACTCAAAGTCATTACAGATTAAGTAAAGGTGCACTGTGTTAAATAACCAAGTTAGGGCCAGGCGCGGTGGCTCAAGCCTGTAATCCCAGCACTCTGGGAGGCCGAGGCGGGTGGATCACGAGGTCAAGAGATCGAGACCATCCTGGTCAACATGGTGAAACCCCGTCTCTACTAAAAATACAAAAAAATTAGCTGGGCATGGTGGCGCGTGCCTGTAATCCCAGCTACTCAGGAGGCTGAGGCAGGAGAATTGCCTGAACCCAGGAGGCGGAGGTTGCGGTGAGCCGAGATCGCGCCATTGCACTCCAGCCTGGGTAACATGAGTGAAACTCCGTCTCAAAAAAAAATAAATAAAATAACCAAGTTAGATTACGTAAGCCTGTCAAAAGTAAAGAACCACATCTCTTTTGCCCTCCTCGTGGAAACCATTACAATTCTACAAATATGTCAGATACTTAGTAAATGCTTCTTGAGAAGTGCACATTTTTTTGGAAAAGAATATTTAAAACAACATAATCAGTATGGCTTACCCTCACACATCTGTAACCATTTATTCAGAAACTGAAGCCCATCAGAAAGAAATCTGAGATGCCATGTGATGCTTTCTCTTTACCAGAGTATGATGAGATAGGCCAACATCAGGTCAGCAAGACGCTGTTTTTTCTCTATATTAAGCATACATTTGATGACATATAAGCCACCACAAAGAAGTTAGCAAAGTTGCCTCTGACTGTTAAGGGTTGTTAGGTATGTCCAGGAGACTGACCTTAGAAGATCTCTTCTAGTTTGCCTCAAATCTTTTACAAAAACAAAAAATATTTGAGAAGGGAGCAGTTGAAGAAAAGGATGTCAAGTTCAGCTCACACATTCATCTGCTGACACTAGTGGTTTCACTTAAATTAGAAAGTGTTTGTGCTTTCCCTGCTACAATAAAAGCTAGGTAAAAGTTCAGTCTGGAACTTCAAGAAACATATTCAAGAGAACAAAAACATTAACTTCCCAATGCTTCTCAATTTAAGCCAAGCCAGGAAAAATATACAAATTGTCAGCCCACAAATATCATAAGAGTCTGAAGAAATGAGAGACAGAAGGGAAAGGAGGTGGGGCATAAGAGAAAGTAGTTTGGACAACTCCTAGTCACCATTGAATACAAAGCTTTTAAGTGAACACAAGAATAAAAGAGCAATAAAATCACCATTCCTATAGCAAATAACTTTTATTTTGAAGGAGGATACCAAGGTGCCATAAACAAATTGCCACCTAATATGCCAGTTTCTTTCAGTATATTTTTTTGATAAGTACACATTTTATCCCTTGTCTATGCTCTAAGCCCCAGTGGAACTCCAAAGGGTTCTGTCTTTCTGGCCCATAGTTCAAGCAGGACTTGAAGGCCTAGTGTCTAATCAAATTTCTAGTTTCTAAGATACCCTATTCTCTGCCCCGCTTTAGAGCCCCCACAGAGCTTTCGGAAGGAACTAATTTCCGAAGAAGTATTCTGGGTAACTGTAACTGTCGGCAAATTCTCCTCCATGGCTTGTGAAACCCATAGTAAAATAACAGGCTTACAGTCAAAAACAGAGGAACAACTAGATCCATGCAATAAAGTAGCCTACATCGTATGATAATACTTTCTCCATTTACCCTAGCATACTAAATGCCCTGTCACTAGGGGAACAACATGAAACCATGTCCTTTCCCATGCTTTATCCGGCCTCTGACATAAACAGAGTAGGAAATAAAATGATAGTAGTAACAGAGAAGGGGATGAAAATAGCACATGGTGAAGAGTAATAAGAAAGGCACTGTCAATTGCCTCAGCACTACCCAGAAATTTGTTCACTCATTCATTCAACAAGTATTTACTGGATGTCTACCATATTCTACTGCAGGTTACCAAGGCTGCCTTGGAAATCTAAAAGATCTACACCCTGAAATAAGACTGCCTAAGAATATCCAACTCAGTAAGTAAATATGTATCATTACTCAAATTGAAAGCAAAATACAAAAAAAGCCCAAATCAGGAGAGTAAGCCTGAGAAATCCAAATCCTAGAAGCTAACATTTACAGCCAGCTCCAAAGGAGAGGATCTCTGGTATAAGGAACAGCCTCACAGACACTTAGTTTGATCATACCTGCAAAAAAATGCCCCCATACTGACATCCATTAAAATAACTCTCAACTGGAACTAAACTTATCTAATAACTGAAATAAATTTTTTTAAGTTATATCTTAAATTTAATAAAGATCAAAATAAAATATAATAAAAGCCAAACCACATACTATATTTTTAATATAAACCAAACCACATACTATACTTGTACCCACAGAACCATGTCAGAGAATGAAACCCAATGAAGCCTCAAAATAAGTGCCTTGAGCCCTGTCTGAGTGAAGACAACCAAAAACCAAGAAATTGGAACTGTAAAGAGAAAATACTTGAGGTTCACCAAAGAAAATCTACTTCAAACCACTATGACTCAGCATCTAATCAATTCTGTTACTGTACAACATTTCTTAAGACTTATGTGTCCTAAGTACCCAGAATTGGCCTCTATTAGTCACAGGCAATCCTGGAAACAATTCTGGAGAGGCAGGTGATTAAGAGGAATCCTCTGCTAGAAAGATACGTATACACAGAAATAGTAGACCAAGAAAATGTAATAGCCTGAAAGAATAAATGAAAAATGGGAAAATGCTAACCAAGACAAGAAAACATTCAAGTAAATGTTTTGCATTCTCCACCAAATCAGCACTAGAGAATATCTATTCTTATATAACATTAAGCCCAATTTGTAATACAAATTCTGCATTGGAAAAAAATGTTTCTTACCTGAGATAGAGTAGACACAAAGTTTTCTAGAATGCAACACAGCCAAATGCAGCATTTCAGTACCTCTGAAAAACAGAGAAAGTTTTTAAAGTTTTCCAATATTAGTTTTAGATGTAACCAAAAATTTCTAAAATAATTTCAAAAAGTTCTCATAACCACAGCCACTGTGAGTAAACAAAACAATTCATTAGCTAACATTCTAAACTGAAAAATAAATATAACAATAAACAGTCAATCTGACAACCCCAGGGGCTCAAGTACTCTGCCTTAAAACACTGCCTTCAGATTGAAGCCAAAAGGGCTTCCAAGAAAAAGTCACATCTGAGGTCCCTCCATAAGCGCTATTTCTTTCAATAAATAAATCCAACTTCTAGTCCTGGCTTTCTGACTAATTCACCAGTGACTCTGGACAAGTCATGTAAATCTCCCTGAGCCTATTTCTCATGAAAAATAAGAGGTTCAATGAAATGAAATAAAATAATGTGAAAGCATCTTGTAAAGGTTAAAGCATCACAATACACCAATCATTATTAGAAGTAGCATATATCACTTCCATCTCTGAAATTTTATTAAAATATTGAAAATATTTCTGTTTGGACTAACTCTCAAATAGAAATAAACTACCAATATCACCACTAGAATTCCCAGCCTATCTCAAGTGGTTTCTAGAAACAGCAGCATAGCACATCTAGAGATCCTAAATTCAGTTTTCAAGGGTCAAGCCAGGGGTTATTAATGAATAAAGGGTATAAACGGCTGTGATTAACTGGAGACAGATCAGACTAAAGGAGGTGGCTACTACTTGGTTCTGGGCTTATGGCCAGAGCCCCACGTTTTTCAAGAAAAGCCAAAAAGTAGGGGTTTTATGTGAGCTCTCTTAGTTCTTAAATGTTTGACAGCACTTTTAAATTTAAAATACTGAGCAGGCAGCCAGGTGTAGTGGCTCATGCCTGAAACCCCGGCACTTTGGGAGGCTGAGGGGGTGGATCTCCTGAAGTCAGGAATTCGAGACCAGCCTGGCCAATATGGTAAAACCCTGCCTCTACTAAAAATAGAAAAATTAGCCAGGCGTGGTGGCACGTGCCTATAGTCCCAGCTACTTGGGAGTTTGAGGCAGGAGAATCACTTGAGCCAGGGAGGCAGAGGTTGTAGTGAGCTGAGATCACACCATTGTACTCCAGTCAGGGTGACAAGAATGAAACTTGGTCTCAAAAAATAAAATAAAATACTGAGCAGGCTCACATGTACAAGTAGGCCTCCAGTGTACAACCCCTGATACAGACTCTGTTCTAAACTACAAGGACTATAATTGAAGTCAGCAGACCTAGATGGCGGTTCTGACTCTACACCTTACTATATGTATAATCATTTAAAGTGTCAGAGTGTTAGTATCTTATTTACAAATAAGAACTGTATTAGATAATATCTGCAAAACATTGTTACAATTAATATATACTCATCATTTGCTCTTCTACTAGAAAATGCAAATATATATATATCACATGATCAATACTGCCTTTGGAAATTTTGTTAATGTACCCTGGACATCCAAAACAACTTTTCTACTATGCTCAGGAAAAGAGCATAATGTCATAGAAAGACAGTACAGTAAAGTATAAAGTCAGAGAGACCTGGGTCTGAATCTTGGCTGTGTGACCTTACACTCTGAGCTCTAGTTTCCTTATCTCTAAATTCAGATAATATCTGCCTTATAAGATTATTGAGACAACATTTATAAAGGCCTAGTATAGTATCTAGTTATTAAGTTAACTTCCTCCCCTTCCAATGTGATCACATAGATGAGGGCTATACTTAAAAACTACTATACAGAGTGATTACTGGTTGTTTCACCTCTTATAATGGTAAGGTAAAAATGCCTTTTAGAGGGAAGAATGCTTTTGTCTCCTTACTTTGTAAATCCATCACATCTAATATGTCCTAGGTACATGATGGGCACCTAATCATCATCTGCTTTCAGAGGGGGTAGATATTTACCAACCACATCAGTCAAAAAATCTCCCCAATCCAGCCTGTCACAAAGCATACAAGTGTTATCTCATGTTCCGGCCTAAAGCATCCAAGCTACAGCTTCCCAACAGATTGAAACATATCACTGGAAGAGGGTGAATGCTCATGAGTGGTTGTTTGGTTTTCAAGCAGGAGTTAGGGCCCTGATTAAATGGCCCCTGGGGCAATAAATTATAATAAACAAATACAATACGCCAAAATCCAGAGCTTGGGGTACTACCCAGATGTAAAAAGGCAAAAGGGAGCTCAAAAAGAGGAGGCAAACCAACTCTGGCTACTTGAGAAGTTTTCATCATACTTTTAAATGATTAAGAAACACAAGCTTAATTTTAAGCAAGTTTGTATATGGAAATAAGAGGATCAGCAGGGTGCAGTGGTTCACGCCTGTAATCCCAGCACTTTGGGAGGTCAAGGCAGGAGGACCACGAGGTCAGGAGTTTGAGACCAGCCTGACCAACATGGTGAACCCTGTCTCTACTAAAATTACAAAAATTAGCCAGGTGTGGTGGAGTGCGCCTGTAATCCCAGTTACTCAGGAGGCTGAGGCAGGAGAATCACTTGGAACCTGGGAGGTGGAGGCTGCTGTGAGCGGAAATAGTGCCACTGCACTCCAGCCTGGGTGACAGAGCGAGACTCCACCTCAAAAAAAAAAAAAAAAAAAAAAAAAAAGAAGATCAGCAATATCATCAGTAAATAAAAAGCAGACATGTTACCCAAAGTTCAAACTAATAAACAGTTTTCTAAAATACATTACATTTAAGAATAAGGAACTTTTGAACAAAGCTCTTGTAAGGGGAAGACTTACTTTGTGGGCTGAACTGACTTCTTTCAAGAAACGATAGGGACTCTCTACCCTAAATAAGTATAAAACCTCAAAGCTATGTGCCAAAAAGTAATGGTTATCTGCTACTTTATCTAATTATAAACAGACACTTATATAACTTTAAATAAGTAGATACTTCTTATTTATTTCTTTATTTGGTTATTTTTAAAAGCTTATCTCTTTGTCTTTAAGCTTCTGCTAATGTCAGACATCTTAAGTCTATTACTATAAAAAGGCCCTAAATTATTCTATCTTAAATGTATTGTATCCTCATAAAAAGCATCCCACACATGAGAAACACCCAGGTGACAATATCCAGAAAACACAGTTAATTCATGGATAGTCTTCTTTGAATTCACAAAAGTGACACAGTAAAGGATTGACATACTCCAAGTAAAATACCAGAATTAGTGGGCTTACTTACGAAACAAACTTTCCTACTTCCACTTGAAGTACTGGATCTCGTAGATCCACTTCTAGAAGCAAATCTTCAGCTTGAGCTCCATCTCCTGTTTTTGTAGGATGGGGGCTAAAGATCCTTAGGTATCCCATATAGCTACCTACAATTATTTTATCTGTAGAGAAATTTTTTTAAAAAAGATATAAGGAGAAACAAACATTAGCAAATCTCTGAGGAAATAAGCTTTCTAATGTCTAAAGGAGAAATCTAAAAGTTAAAAGAATTCAGTCTTGCTTTATATACAAAGGTCACTCTTCCAAAGAAGATGTAATTAAAGTGTATTTGTTTTAATAACACACAGCTTCTCATAAATAATTTTACATCACTACAGTCAAATGTACTAACATACTACATTTTTTCCTAAGCCTTTATTTGGTATCAAAGTCATAATTTAACTCAATCAAAGGACTAGTACAATGTCGTAAACTGATTCCATCATAGAGGCCAACTCTTATAACTGGTTGTAACTATCGAAAACTCTGAATTAAAAAGAATTCTGAGTTATCACTAGATAGAGTGCCTTGATTATCAATATTTCACCTTAAGGATAAGAGGGGGAAATGATAGAATGAGTGTTATAAGTTAAATTGTATCCCCCCGCAAAAAGGGTATGTTAAAGTCATAACCCCAGGTACCTCTGAATATGACCTGATTTGGAAACAGTCTTTGCAGATGTAATGAAGTTAAAATGAGGTCACAGTTAATTAGGTGTGTGATCAAACTCGATTAGCGTTCTTTAAGATGAGAAAACAGAGACATGGAGGGAATGCCATGCGAAGCTGGGTGCACTGGCATGCCCCTATAGTCCCGGCTACCTGAGACGCTGAGGTGGAAGAATTGTTTGAGCCAAGGAGTTCAAGGCTACAGTGAACTGTAATCTTGCCACTGTACTCTAGCCTGGGTGATAGAACAAGACCTTGTTGCTGAAAAAAAAAAAATCCTCATAATAACCCTATGAGAGAGGTACAATCCTGGGAACTTCCATACTGAATGGAGACACATAGATCATAGGACTCTGGTGCTAGAGGAGCTAATGACAGCCTACTGGGGGCTTACAAGGTCTCTGGAGCCATGCTCATTCCTGTCCCCACTAAAGGGTTGTTCAGTTCAACTCTGCCTCCATTTGGGAAAGCTATCTTACATTCATTCCAGTACCTTCTGTACTTAAATTTATCACAGTTTCCTGTCACTTGTGGTCAAAAAAAGATAACTGATATAAAAATGAGCACCAGAAAATAAACTGCAGGCATGAAAACATGCAAGCATATTTAGAATTGGTTCTTTTTTTTTCTTTGAGACAGGGTCTCACTCTGTTGCCGTTGAGTGCAGTGATGCAATCACGGCTCATTGCATTCTCAACCTCACAGGCTTAATTGATCCTCCCACCTCAGCCTCCTGAGTAGCTGGGAATACCGGCATGTGCCACCATCCCCAGCTAATTTTTGTATTTTTTGTAGGGATGTGGTTATGCCATGTTGTCCAGGCTGGTCTCAAACTCCTGGCCTCAAGCAATCCACCTGCCTTGGCCTCCAAAGTATGGGAATTGGTTCTTGACATGAAATGGGGTACAAAACAGTAAGATTCCTCGTGGGGACAAGAGTGACTTTATTTTAAATGCTAATCTGCCGTGTGACTCCTGACTAACTTCAAGAATTCCTCCAAGATTTCTAGTTGATATATTACTCTTTATGTAGAAATACCTATTCCTTATAAGTTTTGCCTTTCCTCCAAAACAGCACTTGATGTTCTACATATATCATAGGCTGTGACATTCATCACCACCTACACTTTCCTTCCAGAGCACATATACTATTTTCCCCAAGATACAAGCCCTGGGTCTGGGGGTTGTGGTGTGGAGATCTACCTGTCTTGCAACTGCCCAAGATTACATTTCTGCCCATAAGTTTACCTAGTAAATAACCATATACTGACAAACTGGATTTGACTGCCTCAATCTTTGGTTCTCGGCTCCCTTGGTTCTCAGGGGCCACTTTGCATATATGTCCTTTCACAGAACACTCCCATTCATATTCTAGGTGGGGTTAAGTAGCACTGCACACTATAACAGAACAATTAATCAAGTTATCATCTCTAGTTATCTGGGACCCTGTGCCCATTGCAGGTGAAACTCTAGTGGACCAGACAGCAGCTGCCATAGGCCAACTGAACAAGGAGGAACACCAAACCACATGTAAGATAGTTTTATTGAAAGGCACTGGATAATTTAAAAGCATGATAGGTTTAATCTCAAAATTATCATCTAAGGGTAAAGAATAAAACTCAGAGTCTTTGGTACTCTTTGGTACTCTGCAGTAACATTTCTCACCACTTACTACTCAGATAGTGGTAAATTACGTTTTAAATTATAGTAACAAATGACCTGACAAATCTCTCCAGTTTTCTCTCCAGGCATTGATCAGAAAGAATAAAATTATACCGTTGTAATGGAGTCCAGAAGGGGTAGAGAAGACTTAAACCTTTAAACCTTCCTAAAACATTCCCCACTGAGCTTTCCATGTATCTTGTCATGCCCTAAATCCCCACTTTTACTCACTAATAACCAAGATTCATGGGTAACTCAATGTAGCCCTATCTTCAGGGATAAGAGGAGGTCAGGATGGCCAAGTCTACATGGTAACAAGCTAACCCACTGAAGCAAAATGTATAATTATTAAAATACTTTCAGGACTTTTATAGTAACCAGATCTCAGATAAGTCTGACTCTCATAGATTTCAAGCTATGATTAATAAATATGGGATTCCCCAGGAATTAATGAACATACAGACATTAAATGAAAAGCCATTAGTCAGTCTTACTTGCTTTCTACTCCAATTCTAGTAATAAACTTTCCCTCCAGGCCACAGGTTGGCATGTAATCTAAATTGGATTATTCAGATCCTCTCTCTTTCCCTCACTCTCACTGTCTCTCTCAAGAGTCTGAATCTTGAGTTGAGAAAATTAGGAAAGTAAGTACCACTTTATTTATTTTTTTTTTTCTTTTTTCTTTTTTTTTTTGAGACGGAGTTTCGCTCCTGTTACCCAGGCTGGAGTGCAATGGCGCGATCTCGGCTCACCGCAACCTCCGCCTCCTGGGTTCAGGCAATTCTCCTGCCTCAGCCTCCTGAGTAGCTGGGATTACAGGCACGCACCACCATGCCCAGCTAATTTTTTGTATTTTTAGTAGAGACGGGGTTTCACCATGTTGACCAGGATGGTCTCGATCTCTTGACCTCGTGATCCACCCGCCTCGGCCTCCCAAAGTGCTGGGATTACAGGCTTGAGCCACCGCGCCCGGCCCGTAAGTACCACTTTAAATGCATGGGGTATTCAATTTCAATTGTACTATCAAGATTAACAAGGATTCCTGTGTTTTAAATTGGCTTCTTCTAAAGAAATTTCAGGATGCTATAACCCTCCTCTCACTTTCTCATCACCTAAAAAAAAAAAAAGTAGAGGTCAACCAACATTACTGTTTCAACTTCCCAACTTGACCTGCAAATTTCTCTACATCTGTATACATTCTTACCTTCTTTCCTCTGTCACTATGGAAAAAGGTTCCCGCGCCTGTTCAAGATTAATCCTTCCATCTGCACACCTGATCTCATCTCTGACTGTCCTCTCTGGGTCCCTGCTCCGTCATGAAAGCCTCTATCCTACACACTGAATTTTTCCCACTTCCCTTGACCCTACATAGCCTCCAAATCATCATCCTCTCTTCTTCGATTCACAGCTAGGTTTCTTTAAAGAGTCATAAATAGTGTCCCCACCTCCCACTCACTCCCCATTCATTCACTGAAAATGTAGATCTCATTACCATTGTGCCTACGCATCCACTCTTGTCACAGACACTAATGAACCACTTGCTGCTAAAGAGCATGAAAACTTTTAGGCCAGGCTTGGTGGCTCATGCCTGTAATCCCAGGACTTTGGGAGGCCAAGGCAGAAAGATCACTTGAGTCCAGGAGTTCAAGACCAGCCTGGGCAACACAAGGAGACACTGTCTCTATAAAAAACAAAAAATTTAAAAATTAGCCAGGCATGGTGAAGCACACTTGGGAGGTTGAAGCTGCAGTGAGCCATGATCATGCAACTGCACTCCATCCTGGGCAGCAGAGTAAGACCCTGTCACAATTAAAAAAAAAAAAAAAATTCAGTCCTCATATCACTAAACCTTGCTTCCCAGGTACCAGCCTAATTGGTTTTCCTGCCTCTCTGCCTCCCGTTTGCAGAACCTCTTCCCACACTTCCCTCATTGATCCTCATATTCTCAAGGTTACAGTTCTACACCTTTCCCCTCTTATTTCAACTTCTCTCCTTGTGCATTTTCACCTATTCACAGAGCTCCAAATACAAACACCATATTGTTCACCCCAAAAATCTCTACCTCTATTCTGTATACTAAACATTTCTGTCTTAAACAGAGCATATCCAAAACTGCTCTTGTTCTTTCCGTTCTATAAGATTGACAATAATAATTCTCAAATTTAAGAATGCCAGCATTCAATTCTGGAGCTTGTCAAAAATGAGGATACCTAAGTCACACCACCCACCTATGCCCAGAGGATACAATCTTATAACATCTCGTGTGTCTGGGATACAAAAGTTTGATATATAATAATCACCCCAGGATATTATGACCCAGGTATCCAGGCTGTGGAACACAATGGTCAGTGTTTTTTTCTATGTGAAACATACATATGTAATGATTTCTGTATAGTAAGTTTTGTAAAACAGAGGAAGCTGCTCACAGCTCACCACAAACTGTGAGGGAAGCAGTATTGGTAACCTACTGGTGGCATGGTGGCACCCCAGTAAGGAACTCTAATAGAAATGAATGACTCAACAGTATGTTATGCAGATAATCAGTAAGTATAGTTTCTAACCAAGCTAAACTTTAGATAGTTTGGGCAGAATTGAGTTTGAAATTGTCTCTGGCAGGTATTTCTGTGGCATGACTCTTACATGGCCAAATAATTGGGGAATCACATGCTTTAACAAATAGTGGGGCAGAGGCAGGGTTGAGGAACCTCTCAATATTCTCTGAATAGAAGATCTACCCATCTCCTATCAGTGGAAAAGCAGGGACCAAATTTTCCTTCAAAACAACTTAGTAGGTGCTTCAAGGAGTTTAGTACATCCCACTGTTCTGCTTCACCAATGTAATTTTCTCTTTTCACATTTTCCTGAAGATCCCACTGTTTTTGTTATATGCAAGAAAACCAATTTTTAAAAATGTAAGGGGGTAATATTTATATGCAGTAAATAAAAGAACAGTTATACTAAGTTTTCTTTTTAAGAGGCTAATGACTATCTGGATTACAAAAAAAAAATTTTAAGCCCATAACTATAAACCAAATACAAATTTCAAGTAGCAATGATACAATAATATAGAATTAAACTGTTTTAAAGGTGACTTAAAAAACATAAAGATGCATAAGAATAAGCTAGGATGTAAGTTTTAGTATTATGATAATGAAAGCAATGATTTAACAATTGTTTTCTACCATCAAATAGAGCTAGTATAATTTCATTATGGTATGAATGGTTTCCAGGTCCAATAAAAAATTTATTTTCTGTAAAGAATTTCTACAAAAGGAAATTTTTCAAAATTCAAAATATTTTCCTAACTCTCCCCTAAAAGACCAAATTTTGATGCAGGAAAATGTGAAAAGAGAAAATTACACTGGTGAAGCAGAACAGTGGGAGGTACTAAGCTCCTCTGAGCACCTACTAAATGAAGTGATGCCATATAATTTTTAATAAATTCCAGCAAAAAATATGACAGAATTAATACAAACCAGAACATAAACTAAACAGAAGGACTATAGTTATTAGTCTGCTACCTAAATATTACTTATTTTAAAAAACTACCTTCAAATTTGGTGCAATTACGATAGTTCAATTAAGTTCTAAAAAGTACGTATTTTGAAAAGTAAGTCATTTTTATTTGATCTCTCTTTTTTTTGAAATGGAGTCTCACTCCATCTCCCAGGCTGGAGTGCAGTGGCACCATCTCAGCTCACTGCAACCTCCACCTTCTGGGTTCAAGCGATCTCCTGCCTCAGCCTCCCGAGTAGCTGGGATTACAGGTGCCCGCCACCAAGCCCGGCTAATTTTTATATTTTTAGTAGAGACTGGGTTTTACCATGTTGGCCAGGCAGGTCTCAAACTCCTGACCTCGTGATCTGCCCACCTCAGCCTCCCAAAGGGCTGGGATTACAGGCATAAGCCACTGCGCCCGGCTTTATTTCATCTCTTTAAAGCTTTGATCCAAGGTGCATGGTTATAATTTGCTTACCTTGTCCATTTCCACTATTGTCAACATTAGCCAAACACAAACAGCCTTGATCAAATTCTTCTTTTTCTCCTAGAATAGTAGACCACCAATCACGGGCTTTAAATAAAGACATTTTCTTTCACTCTAAAAAGAAAACATTTATAATAATCCACTTCACACTATGAATTAATAATTATGTCTTAAGGCATAGCAAATTAAACTCGGATAGATTTAAGAAGAACATTTCTATATTAACTTTTTAATATTTTGCACACATATATGAAACCACAAATCCAAATTGTTGGAAGCATTAATTAGATATTTTGCGACACCATTAGTAAATTGGGCTTAGAAAATATACATTTATGTTGTGCTGATTCTCTCTTCTGAAACATTTAGGGGAGAACTGCAGAAAGTAAGAAAAGAACATATTCTTTGGAGGATCAAGATTCAAATTCCATCAGCACTATTTCATACGTAAGTCCTCAGTGAAATACCTAACTTCCTTTCAGTCTAGTCATTGGTGAGACTGCACTAGTTGGCCCTTTGTACCTGTGGAAGATTGGTTCCAAGACCCCACAGATGAAAAATCTCCAGATGCTCAAGTCCCTTATTATATATAATGACCTAGTAGACCTAGTACAGTCAGCCTTCCATATCCACAGGTTTCAATCTGCAGTTGGTTGAATCCAGGGATATGAAACTGGAGGACACGGAGGGCCAACTACATCTCCTATTACAAAGAGTTGCTGAGACGAATTGAGATCAAATGCATCAGTGACTAGCTCTGGAACTGGTATGTTATATGTACTCAAAAAGCATTCACTTCTTCTTGCTATTCTAGGTACAGAAAGGCAAGATAGAAGAGGGAAATTCCTATCAAAAAGAATCAGGAACATTGGGCTTCAGGTCCATTTATACCACTATCTGTGTGTCCTTGGACAACCCACATAACCTCTCCTTACTTTGATTTCTTATTTAGAATGAACATATAACAGCCCTACCTACCACTGAGTTGCTGATATGGTAGATGTGAAAGCACTTGAGTCTTCTGAATTACAACACAGCATCACATGCCCTGGCATTCTACAATAGTTCATTTATTTAACATAAATGAGGCTTTCCTTCATGTTACACTGATTTAAATAGTAGTTAGGAAATGCAGTCAAATCTCCTTATTCACAAAAGTTATGTTTTATAAAGCCACTGCAAACAATGAATCAGCAAATACTGAGCCATTGCTCCTAGGAGAAACACAGGGTTAGATTCCTGCAAGCTTCTAGTAACAACATTTTCTTCAACCAATCAATACATAATGTAGTTTTTTGTGTGTTTATATTTAAAGATACCTTATTGAATATGTATTGCTGGTTCATTACCATGGAAATTATGGCCACCAGCGCTAGGACTCAGTTTGAACTAAGCTTATCTAATTACATGTACAGACGCTTTTCAATTTATGACGGGGTTACATCCCAATAGACCGGTCATAAATTGAAAATACTTAAAATGCATTTAATACACCCAAGAAAATGCATTTAATATACCCAAGAAAAGATCAAAATTCAAAATTCAAAGTATGGTTTCTATAGAATGTGTATCACTCTCACAACCTCCTAAAGTTGAAAAGCCATAAGTCAAACCATTGTAAGTCAGGGACCTTCTGTCTGTTCTTTAGAAGATACATCACAGCCTTCTTGCATTTAGGAACATTAGCACTTCAGCATTACATTTGCAGACTATTTTAAACAGTGAAATCACCACACTCCTGCCAACAAAAAGCCTACCAAAATGTGGGGGAAAACATGACACTAAATACTGTAGACCATGAAAGAACACTTGTTTACAGTATGAAAACTGAAACAAGAAAGCAGTTGTTTAACATCAGCTAGGAACATGTGCATCAGGTGACTCAATTTTTACTCCTTCGTACTTGGCCACAAATAACCACAAAAGCATTGTGAGCACTGATTTGGGGGTTACAAATAAATTTTAGCAAGTAGGCAAATTCACAGATGATACAGAGTCTGCACATAATTAGGATCGGCTGTACTTTTTTAAAATGTAGATCAACCTGCCTCTTAAAGTAAGCCTTCCACATGGGCTAATCATAGAAACCAAGGCCACTTGTTTTTATACAAAGTTGGCCAAAAAAATTTACTGCAAATAATGTGGTGGAAAAGTACTAACTCTGGAGGCAACCTGTATGAGTTTGAATTCCTGCTCCACCACATAATAACCATGCGACCAATGGAAGGTTACTAGAAGTTACTGAACGTCTCTGTACTTCACCTTTCTCACTTACAAAATAAATGTAAGAGCGGTGTTGTGATGATTAAATAAGAATGCAGTTTCCTACAGAACTGGAAAAAATATATGCAAGTCATATATATGATAAGGAATTAATATCCAGGATACATAAAGAACTCCTACAACTCAACAACAAGAACAAAAACAAACCATCCAATTAAAAAATGTGCAAAAGAACCTGAATAGACACTTATCCAAAGAAGACATACAAATGAGCTGGGTGCAGTGGCTCATACTTGTAATCCCAGCACTTTGGGAGGCCAAGCAGGGTTGATCACCTGAGATCACGTGTAGGGCTGATGGCCCCACAGGGTCACGGGGTGTGCCTTATACTGTACTGAGGCGCAGGATCCAAGAAATAAAGAGACAGGACACAGAAGTACAAGGAAAATGCAGTTGGGCTCAGGGGGCCCTGCCACCTATGAGCAGAGTCAGGCGAGGCCCCAAATGTCCAGAAGCATGAGTATTTATTGTGTATAGGTTAGGGGGCAGGGCAGTGAGTGAAATCATCTTTAAGGATAGTGATAGGATTGTGAGCAATAAAACATGGGGTCCACCCCCATTAGGTCACCTAGGCCAGGAGGTGGACAGTGCACAGCAAGGGGCCCGTTCCCATGAAGGCAAGGGCCGTGTGCAGTAAAGGGTCCACCCCCATTAGGTCACTGAGGCTTGAAGGTGGACCGTGAGCAGTGAGGAGGGTGCAGTGTGCAATACTTCTATCTATGGGCAAACTACTTCTAAGAAGATTTATAGGAGGATGTTTTAAGTCATACAGCAGTGACAGAGCTGTCAAGGTTACTGCCACCTTCTGGCAGCTTCCAATGGGTTCTATGGGAAGATGTTTTTCAAGCAGCACAGTAGCAAGAACTGGTAAAGTACACAGTTACCAAGGTGGATTACTGGTCTGAGGGCAGCCTTCCACAAGACCTGGAGCAAGGTCCTACAACTCCTTTACCAGGAGGAGCGGCTCTCGCCCCAAGCCTGCCATATAGCGGGTATCTTTACAACACTGAAGACTGCCGCCTGGGCCATGGATTCTTGTCCTGGTATAACTGTTTTCCCTTAAATCATGCTCTGCACGGTGTCTGCTCTAGGCATTCTTCCGATTATAAGCTGCTTATCCCTTAATTCATGCTCTGTACTGTGTTCACTCTAGGCATTCCTCTGATTATGAGCTAAGATATAATTATAGGTATATATGTAGGGAAATGTTCTTTAGGCTCTCATACTATCAACTATTATATGATTATATATATAGAGGATTATATAAAGGGGTTCTTCAAGCCCTAATTCTATAAACTAATATATGATTATGTAAAGGATTATGTAAAAGGAAATAGCTGAGTAGTAACACTATAAAGTGAGACATTCCTCAAGTCGTAACGGTGCCAGAGTTCTGCTTAGCTCTCGTTCCACAGTGCCTATATGGGGGGTTACCCACAGTCACAAATTCAAGACCAGCCTGGCCAACATGGCAAAACCCCGTCTCTACTAAAAATACAAAAATTAGCCAGGCATGGTGGTGGGTGCCTGTAATCCCAGCTACTCAGGAGGCTGAGGCAGAAGGATTGCTTGAACCCAGGAAGCAGAGGTTGCAGTGAGCCAAGGTCGCAACACTGCACTCCAGCCTGGGTTACAGAGTAAGATTCTGTCTCAAACAACAACAAAAAATACATACAAATGGCAAAGAAGCATATGAAAATAGGCTCAATATCACTAATCATCAGGGATATGCAAATCAAAACAATATCACCTGACATCCATTATCAAAAAAAAAAAAAAAACCAAAAATATATTCAACCTAAGAATGATGATTTCAAGAAGAAAAAAACACAAAATAACGTGCTGGCAAGGACATGAAGAAATTGGAATCTCTGTACACTGTTGGTGGGAATATAAAATGGTGCAGCTGCTATGGAAAACAGTGGGTAGGTCCCTCAAAAAATTAAACATAGAAGTTTTGATCCAGCAATCCCATTTCTTGGTGGATATCCAGAATAACTAAAGACAGAATCTCAGAGACATAATGATTAAGAGGTAGAAGCAACCTAAACATCCATCAATGGATAAATGGATAAAGAAAATGTGGTATACACATACAATGCAATATTACGCAGCCTTAAAAAGGAAGGAAATTTTGACAGATGCTATGTAGATGAACCTTGAGGACATTATGTTAAGTAAAATAAGCCAGTCACAAAAAAGACAAATACCATATGATTCCACTTACGTGAGTGCCTAGAGTAGTCACAGAAACATTAAGAATGGTTGATTGTCAGGGGCTAGGGAGAAAGCAGAGCTGTATAGTTTTGACTTTGCAAGATGAGAAGTTCTGGAGATTGGCTGTACAACAATGTCAATTTACTTAACGTTACTGAACTATATAGTTAAAAATGGTTAGATGTTCAATTTTATGTTACATAAATTTACCACAATTAAATATAACAAATATACAGCTTTAGTTTTTTACAAAAAGGAATGCACTAGACCACTTAGTACAACACCTAGCACATAAGCACTCAATAAATGTTAGCTGTTGCTCTGGTTTTGATCCCTTTTTGTGATTTTTTAAACTTACATTAAAGAAAAAAAACTCAATGTTCTGGTTAAACACACGATGGTACATCCACACCATACCAACATAACTAAAGAATTTAAAAACACGAAGTACAGACGCACACAAGGTTTCAAGAGCATTTTGCTCAATGAAAAAATCCAAAAAGGTAAAAGATTAAATAATTACATTTCTAATTCTCAAAATGACAAAATTATACCAATGTAGAACAGATAGGTGGCTGCTAGGCTTACAGGAGGGTATAACTACAAGGAGTTAA